CTGCATCGATTCCCTTTCGCAATGCAGCCCGTCGGCGCGGCCTTTGGATCCCGCCGGGAGAGCCCAAGGCACAGACGGCCGTGCCACTGCCTGCCTGGCACGGAAACACCTGCAGGACAAGGGCAGCAAAGCAGCAAAGTCCTCCAGGACTTGGCTGCGTGCTCTGCTTTCCACCAACACCCAGGTGGAGATAAAGTCACATTTTCCAAAGGTGCCACTGGCCCAGAAAGCACCAGCAAACACCAGCACTCCAAGGAGAAGAAGGCAGGATGGTTCCTCCTGCCGCCAACAGGTCTCCTGGCAGGACAAGCCCCAGGTCCAGCGTGACAGGCTCCTGACATTGCTTATCCAGGCCAGAGACCTGATCCCAGCTGGACTTTGCCCACCATGAGATGGCCTAGGAAGTCTGAATGGGAAGAGATGGGAAGCATGGGCTGGGGTAGGGATAAGAGGAACGTAATCAGGGCTGGAGCTGCCAGCAGGGTTAAGAGCTGTGGGTTTATCAAACACAATATCACCCCGCAACCCCCCCGGAATATAAAGGGAGTGAAACAGAAGCTGTGCGGGAGATAAGGCAGCAGCACCCAGCAGCTCATATGGAATTACTGCAGTGACCTTGAGCAAGAGGCGGCCAGGTGGGAGAAGGACACACGGCTGCGGGGCCAGGTCCCCATCGCCCGCGGCCCAGAGCGGGGGACTGCGGGGGCGACGCGGGGGCGGCGGGGAGGGCGAGGAGGAACGGCGTGGAGGAAGAGCTGGAGGGGATGGGGGACTGCAGCGGGGGCAGAAGGGTCCGGCGAGAGAAGGGGGGGCCCGGAGAGGGGATTACAGCTCCATCCCCGATCAGGTGCAGGGCTGGGAGGAGCAGCGCCCGCCATGGAGGGGGGAGCGGCGGGGAACGGCTCCCGCAGAGCCCTCGGCCGCGCCGCCGGCTCCCGCACCCGCCCGGATCCCGCTCCCGCTCCCGCAGCCGCCGCGGGGCCCCGAGCCCGGCCCGGGAGGCGTCACGGCACCGAGCTGCCCGCCGGGGCCCGGCATCCCCCGCAGCCTGCGATGCCCCGGTGTCCAGAACCTTCCTCCTCCTCCTCCTTCCCCCCCCCCCCCCCCATCCCGGCTGCCGGGGCGCACGGCCCCGCTTACCTGCGCGGTGCCGCCGCCGGTGCCGCCGGGGAGCGCGGGTGGAGGCGGCCGCAGCCGCCCGCTCCTGCTGCGCGCCGCCGAGTTGCCGGGCTGGCTGGGCAGGTCCCGACGGCAGGTCCCGGCTTAACCCCTTCGGGGCCGCCCGGGCACCGGCCGAGGCGCTCAGCAGCCCCCCCGGCCCCCCCGGTGCGGTGCGGCGCAGCGCGGTGCGGTACCGGCCGCGGGGGATGCGGCGCCGAGCCCCTGCCCCGCCGCATGCGGGAGGCGGGGATGCTGTAAATGCTCAGTCACTGCCCCTCGCTGGCAGCCAGCCAGGCGCTGCTCGCTGCTGCTGCCTTGCTCGCCTGTATTTTTTTTTCCCTCCTCCCCCCATTATTTTTAGACAGAAATCCACGTCCACGGGCGCGGAAGCGGCTGCGAGGGATGCCGACCCCCCCCACCAAGCAGCTCCCTCTCTGCTACCCCAGGCCATGCTACCAATTTGGGTTCTTTAAATTATTATTCATTTTTTTTGCTAGGATCTAAATTTGGAGCAGATTCTTCCCCTGCTCTGAACAGCTCCCAGAGCCTGGCTGGGGGGAGAGAGGGAGGCATCAGATGACATGACAAAATAAGTCATGTCTCTCGATCATTTCAATGCCACCCCCTCTCTCTCCCAGCCTCTGCCTTCCATTTTAATCACTGACAGCCCTTCAAGTATTATGGATATATATAATCTTTTTAGTATCACTGACATTTTCCATGATGGAAAGCATCTTGGGGGTGCTGAGACATTTGGGAGAGGGATTGTGCCTTCTTGCTGATGCTCCTGCCCCACAGAGGAGAGCTGAGACCTGTCTTGCCCGAAGGTCCTGCCTTGGGTCCCAGGGGGAGGCCCCGTGCCTCCCAGGGCTTTGCAGGTCTGAGTAACCTGACGTTCCCAACAAGCTCTGGCCATGCAGGCTGAATAAGCATCCAGTCCCTCTTCCAGCTGCAGCCTGGGAGAAGAGCACATCCAGCATCCAAACCATCCCCAGATTAGCCCGGAGAACATCCCAGCTCGGGCAGTGGGAAGCATTCTCCATGGCAGCCTAAGATCCAGGTTTTCCTCTTCCTCCATTCCCAATGCTCCTGATTCACTGTGTCATATGCTGAGGCAGACAGCTTGCTCTTCTTCAGGCACTGATCTTTTACAAGCAAAGTGAACCTTTCTGTGCAGAAAACACCCTATGAAGTGTTTTCAGAGCTGTACAAACATGGGGTTGCTTTGTTGGGGCCCACAACCCCACTGTGGGAAATGGGACCCAGCAAGGCACTGATTGCCCTCAGCACAGCCTGGCTGCTCACCCAGACCCCCTCAGCCATTGAGAAATGCACTGTCACCTTCTGCTTGCAGCATTTTCCTAGAACTCCCCCTCTTCCCAGGCTCTCTGGTGGGGTGATGATGTCTTCAGGCCCCCACTCACGTGCTGGGTTTGGTATGCAACTCCCAAGGCCAGGAAGGTCGCTCACCTCACCTCGGTTATTTAGCAAACACAACACAAATTATTAACACTAATACAAATAATGCCCACGTCTGGGAGAGGAGAAGGAATACTCTCCTTGCCTGGCTGCAAGGGTTTGGCTGACAGACCAAGGGTCCCTGCACTGGTGACAGAGCCCACGTCTCACACTGGGCCTGTAATGAGGGTACATATTTCTAAAGCTGTTCTGTGGAAGGCAGCTCTAATTCCACTGCAGTTCCCGTCATGTAACTTCCACAAATCAATGCAAAAGGAAAAAAAGCAAACCAGCTGGCTCAGAGAAAGCTGCAGCAGCCAGACAGCAGAGTATCACAGTTGTTGGCCCACACATCCCTTCCCGCGTGCTGCTTGTACCTTGTCCCCTGAGGACACACTTGTCCAAGGCTGAAAGAGGCACTGACAATATTTATGACAAAAATTATGACAAAATTATGACAAAAAATTAGACTATTCACAGGTTTGTTCTGCAGAGCTCTTACACCACCCCCCTGCCCTGTGCCACCAGGCTCCTCCCATGGAAGGGAAGGAGATGGCAGCACAGGACATTCTTCCATCGTATGTGACTGATGTAAAACTCCCATCTATCTGGTGTCATATTAACAGATTTTCCTGTGGGTAGAATAATACATGGAGCCTGTTTTCCATAGGCTGGACTGGAGATATGGGTCCATGGAGACACGGATCCATGGCGACATGGATGGGTTTTGCCATCCCTTAACGTAAAGCTACCACATGAAAGGATTCCTGCCTCCGAGACAATCACGTTGCCTCTAGAACGTGCAGACTCCCTCTCATCTACAAACAGATGGCTTGAGCAGTTTGAGTTGGGCAGATTCACAAGCTGATAATCATCTCCAGGGAGGCAGGAGCTATTGTCAGAGCCTGTGAGACACACCCCAACTTCAGGCCTTTTTCCTCCTAATTCTCAAAATGTTGCTGAAATTCTCACTCCAGGAATGCTGAGCAGAGACATTCCCTTTGTGGGTCTGTGCCCGCTAAGCCAGAGGAGGCTCCTGCTGCCACAGAAGCCAAAATGCTTCCCCATACTCCACTAAGAGAAAACATCTCAAAACATGAGGGGCTTCACCTGGCCAGCGAAAAAAATAAGCTGTGCTTTGCCATGGTACTGCCAGGAGCCAAGAGGAAGAATATATTCTCTCCTCAGACAGCACAGGAGTTAAAATGAGAAAGCAAAAGACACCAATTCTGCAGAAGGCACAGTTATTTCACGCTCTGTGCAGCTCCAGACTGTGTCAGTGTGGCTGCCAAAGGACAGGAGCACGTGCCCGAGGCACACACGCCCGGTGCCACCGCGCAGTGACGCCGCACAACTCGTAACAGCAGTGCTCAGCACGGATATGCATCTGCTGCCTAAGAACTCCAGACGTATCACAAACCTCAATTAATGATCTGCACTGATGTCATTGCTCTACAGGGCCAAAGCCTTTCCCGGGAATGCTGTCCAGCTGCTTTGGCAGGAAGGTGGCACTTTTACCAACATGACACAGGTCTCTCGATGCCAGGTCACGACAGACCCCACAACCAGCTCGCTCTGCCTTAAGAACCTGCTCCCACTGAAGCCCAGCATGCCACACTCAGGCCTGGGATGCCTCCACAAAAAGCTCTATTCCAGCTGTGATGCAGAAGGAAACCCAGACATAAAGCAGTGATGAGCCCAGACACACAGGCAGATGGACAGACAGGAGGGGTGGCTCTAACACGAGGCCTTACCATGCTCACAACATTTATAGCACAAATTTCACTCATTTAATTCAAGAGTGATTAGACTTGGAAGGAAACAAGTAAGAGCTGGCTCAAAATGGGGCACGGGTACCTTGAGCTGGATGGGAAAAAATGGCAAGATCAGCACAAGATGGAAATTCATGGATACAAAACCAGGCAGGTTGGCATATCCCTTGGGATAGTGCTTTTACTGGGATCCAGAATGCCTCAGAGAAGCCTGCTGTCAGCCAGTCCCAGGGGGAGACTGGACAAGCAGCCAAGAATATGATCAAAAATGGGATGGATTTGTCTAAGTTACTTTTCTTGTACCAGTGCTCTTGAGCACAAAGGGACACCCTGCTCACTCACCTGCATCCAACCACAATCGACAAACAAAGCACACACCTCATGTTGACTGGCACTTTTAAATTCTTCTTCCTTAGCAGAAATGCCAGTATTTTCTAGTCCTAACGTTTTCTGAGGCAGTGATATTTCTTGCCTTGTCTCTTCTTGGCAAGTGATCATCTGTAGCAGTAACAGATGATCCAGCAACAGTCCCACATCACAGCATGTCAGAAAAGAGGCAGCCCAGTATTTGTAATCACTGAATCACTTCAGAAAGAAGAATCCACTCAATCTGTGTACATATGGTTATTTATTTATTTTTTTAAAGCTATTTCTACATGCAAATGGTTTCTCCTCTCCCACTGCAGAGCACGTTATTGCTTTAGATCCTCAAATAAAGACACCATTTCACTCACCATTGAATCCAGCAGCTTGTAAACCTGCAGCAGAAATCAAGAGAAGACAGTTGCAGTGAAAACACACAAAGAAACCCTGAGGATGAGACTGACAGAGATGGTTTCTCACACTGGAGTACATTATCATATGGGCACACACAACCACACAGAAGTGGCAGCCTGCTAACAGAGCTCTAGTAATAACTTCTCTGGCTATGAAGTGTGTTTAACATTATCTGAGGTACAATTAATTCAGCTGATCCCTCAAGAGTCCACAAGCATGCTGAAGACATCCCAGATAGAAGTCCCGCATGTGGCTATGTGATGGCTGGATTTCTTCTAACAGATTCCAGGCTGGAATAAAGGGCATCTTAATCTGGATTTCACACTTACCTTGCTGCAGCATGAGGGACATATGTCTGTCAGTTTTCTGAGTTTAAAAAAATGTTTACCTCTCCTCCTGAGCCTCAATGTAACTTACAAGCAAAGAAAAACCCCAAGAAAAGGACAAAACCCAACAAATACAAGCTTTGGTCAGACTCACTTCAATATAGAGTTTTTCCTGGTATATTCCAAATGAAACAGAGTCCACCTGCTCCTGAGGAGGTTCTACTCCCTCTGTAGTTACAGCTCCCTCTTTCTCCTTCAGTGATGAAGCAGCAGATACCCGCTTCTCATCTTTTACTTTTGGGGGCTCTGCTCCCTCTTTCACCTTCACTGATGCAATGGAAGGTGTCCGCTTCTCATCCTTCGCTTTCAGCTTTCTGCTGCCTTGATGTTCCTAATCAGGGACAGACCAAGAAAAAAAGGGACATGGGTCAGAACACCGCTCAGACTGTTGCAAGATGCACCTCCCAGGAGCAGCACCTCTTCCACTGGGTTAGAAATCAGTTCAAACTCAGGATACACAACCTCAGAATTGTTCACACTGTCCCCCGCACTCAGGGCTCACCAGACATCCCAACACATACCACTTTCTCTTTCCCTGGTGTCGCTCTACTTTTTTTGCGTTCTTTATCCTTTTTCTCTTCTTTCTTAGTGGCTATTTTGTCTTCCTTTCCTCCTTTTTTTTCTCCTCCTTGCTTTACTTCCTCTACCAAAGAAAGAATTTCAGTTACCCAAAAGCATCCACCCATCCAGAAAGACCAGCCCACTGCACTAACGCAGTGGGAGTGTATTACTTTTGCAATGTACTTCCCTCTTTTTATTAATCTGAGCTGTACTGCACTGAAAAACAATACCTTGAAGAGCTTTGTGAAGAGGTCTCAGATGTGTATCAGAACAAGCCTGTAAGACAGCTAATAGTAAGGCAGTGTTTGCTGGGTCAGTCTGTGTGAAAACCACAGCTACACGTAGATGAATTAAAAGGCTTTTTTGCGAGGTGGTTTTTTACTGATGCCAAACCACAGATCACAATTAGTACTGTGACTGTCACACAATCTGCCTTTTTTTTTCTGATGCATTTTCTTATAAAAGCTTTGAGAGGGACCTGCTGAAATTGAAATTTCAGTCGAAATTCATCACGTTTTCTGGATTTCCAACAGTCCACAGAAAGCAGCTGCTGTGCTAAAACTACCATTTACCTGTTTCCTCTGGAACAGCATCTGCATAGGTGTCCTTCTTAAGCAAGCCATACAGGGATCTCAGCCTCAGAGCGTGACTCACCATGTCATCAACTGCTCCCCGCCACAGCTGGAGGCTGAGAAAAGGATCAGGATCAGAAGGGAGACAGTGCAGCAATTGCCACCTTGTTTTAACCCTGTCCCCAGAAGTAAAGGCACCTTACAGCTGAGAGCTGCTCTATACAACTAAACCAACAAAACAACACCCACAGTCTAAATATCTGTGCAGAGAGATGCTAAACTGCCTTCCTCATGTTAGATCTCTCCAAGGTCTCAAAGGTTTGCAAATCAACAGGTTCACAGGGACCCATAAATATTACTGTGAAACTAGGTCTGCTCCTCAACATGACACACATTGATAAATCAGCATCAACCTGCTCTGTGTTTACCAAGAGGAACCTGCATCCTTCTAATTTAGAAGCAACGAGAAGCTGTTGATATGTTTACAGTCTGAAAGCCTGAGCAAAGAACAGAGAGACTGTATGAGGGAGGAGACAGTTATCTGAGTAAAAGGGTACAGAAAATACCCAAAGGTTTCCTAAATACAGACTAGAATAACCTTGCCAGAAATAATCTTGTACACTCTCCAAAATTACATGCATTTAATATTCTAAACTTATCTCCAGAAGGAAAAAAAAAAAAGGCATTTGGGTCCTAGACAGCTGCTACAATTAAGCTATAAAAAAACCAGAGTGTAAAGATGACTTCTAGACCTCATATAATTATCTGCACTCTGAATCACAACACTTGCAACAGAGCTCGCTGAGGCTGTTGATCACACAGTGCTTTCACAAGCTTTTTCCTTGCAAAGGTAACACACCAGAGTGGATACAGAAGGTCTGACTGAACTGGCCTCTGTTCAACACACAGCTCCAGAGCTGCCTTATTGAGCTGGGTCAGTGCTTCTTCCCGCTGCTCTTCCCCAGGGATTGACATTATGGCCTGTGAGAGAAAAGACAGAGGGTGTGTGGAGCACTTCTCAGGGTTCATTCCCAGTCCATGGGCCCTGAGCTCAACGGAACCACCATGGCTCTCTCCCTGGACACTGGCCTGAAACCAGGCTGCACTGGGCACTTACACTCACACATGTGGCTTCCTATATGGTTGGGATTTGGCCAAGGTCCCCGAGATCCAGGGAACAATCCCAGATTCCCCCATCAGACTGACAGTAAGCCCCTTTGCAACTTCACAGGTGTGCTGGGGAACAGAGATTCTAGAGAGCTGCAAGGCTCCCAAGTAAAGCTTAGTTATAAAAGAAGCAGAGAGATTTCCAAGAGAGCACTACAGAAAAACCGCTGACAGAATCCAAACCACTCTTGCTTTAATCTAGGGAGGTCTGTACTTTATCCACAGCCTGTCATGAGTGCCCCCTTAGTTCTCTGATGAATAGGAAGGACTCTCCAAGGCAAGGAGCCCTTAGGGGAGCCACGGGAGGCTGTAAGACTAGCCTGCCCCCCGCATTCAGTCCTGGGATGACAGAAAGCTAATGGGGGAAGAGCTTAAAATATCTATTATGTTGTCTGGTTCTCTTTTCTTCTTCACACAACAGCCCACAAAGTCTCTCTTGGGAATCTCTTTACAAGAGCACTGAGGGTGTGGTCAGCAGAGCCAATACACATCATAAATCATCTCTAACTCCCAGCACATAGGCAGCAGACCTTTGGGTGGGCTCCACACTGCGGCAGGCTGGGCTGTTTGAAGGGAAATGAAAACACCATCAGCTTGTCACAGCATCAGTGGGAACAGAGGTGACCACCTGTTTAAAGTCGTCAAGGGAAAGGTTCCATCCTGACGGGTCTGCTTCTTCCTCCTCAGTGCTCATCTTCTGCCTCAGAGCCTCCTCTAGTGAGTTCTTCCCACCTGGGAGCTCCGTGGTGCTGCTCCGAGCAGGGAGAGGCTCCACAGTGCTCTCCTGGTACTCTGTGTCCTCCTCTGCAGTGCTCCTCTGGTCCGAGGGCACTTTCTCCTCGAAGGCTGAAGGCACAGTCATGTACTGTCTCCATAGTTTGTGCAGCTGCTTTACCACTTGATACTGATAATAAAACTGTGATAACAGGGAAAAAGTAAACAGACATAAGTTTTGCCTTTCCTCTTCAAACCCAACTGTTAAAGCCTCCATGGCAGATTCTGCCAGCTCCAGAAACCCAGGGATGCACCAGCCCCATGGATCTGCCCTCCCTGTTACTTCAGTTACCCATCAAATAGCAAACATCACCCCGGGATTCTTCCTGTGGAACAACTCTTCCTCGGTGGCACAGGCAGGAGATGGGGTGCGCTCCGGGGTCCGAACTTGGTCAAGAAGTTCACTGAGATTGTCTTTGACAATAGCAGCACCTTCTCGAGCAGCCAGGTCACTCTGAGGCACCACAACGAGAACAGCATGTGTGAGTCCCCGTTCCACATACAAACACACAAACAAATTCACTCCCACGCCAGTAACCACACACATACATTACACAGGGTTACAAGGACAAGAATAACTGCAAACCCCGCTGAGCACAGCAGTACTGCCAACAGCTTTTCAAACAAACCCTGCAAATCCTCCCTCAAACTATGCTTTTCAAAGCGTAGTGTAATTTTCATTTTATACCTTAAATTACCATAGTGTGCAACACACAATCCCATCTCCACTAAGTAACTAATGAAATTAATTACCAACAGAAAATTCATTTTTAAAGGGCCAGCGTGAACACTTCAGGAGACACAGTCATGTCTTTACTAACAACATTACAAAAGACTGCAAAGTTCCCCCATGTTACTTAGCAAACCTGCTCAAGTATGTACAGACGTTCTGTAAATCATCTCACTCCCAGCCCTAATTACACAGCAATAAAAATACCAGTTGTTCACTCCCACCCTTATCCTCTATTTGCATATAAAGTTCAAAGCTCACAGTTACCCAGTCACATGCTTGGTTACCTCCAGATTCTCTCTGAAGTCAGCCAATTTATCCTCATACACAGCAATTCCCCAAAGGGTCACCTGCAGCAGAGCTCCTCCTAATAACAGAGGATGTGTCCTAAATTCCCAGGGCTCACTGAAAATGCCTGCTCTCCTCGACTTGAAAAGGAAGGAAAACCTCCGAGTTTCTCCAGGCAAAATGACACCTGAAATAAGAGAGAAAATGCATTGGTCTGCAAGAAGCCACCTGGTTAACTTGACCCTTTTCCAACCCCACCCCAAGTGTCCCTGTCTCTGTAGGAGACTCTTTCACCATAGTTTAGCTGGTTATCACACTTCATCCAGCTATTCTTCTCCTTCCAGATTTACTCCCAGTCCCCATGCTACTGAACTGGTGTTATTTCCACTGCATGCTCCTTCTACAGCAAGCTCAGTTCTCCAGCAGATGATGGTCCATTTGCCATCAGAAAATGATTCACTTCTCAATATTCCGCCCATTTGCACTCAGAGTAGGAGCAACCTCCTTTCCTTTAGGTTTCATGAGAGGGATCTGCCTTGCACAGCTCTTTTGGGGTGAGTCAGCTCTGACACCCAGGAGCTTCCTCAGGAGAATCACCCAGCAGTGCTGTGCCATTAGTCAGACTCCACATCTCAGGAAACTCCCGAATACCTGCTCTCTGGCTGAGGTACAAAGGTCTCATACCTGGTCTGGTATCAAAGTAAAAACATGGCATCCTCCTCCCCTTGGTTTCTCTGGAGGGAATCTGCTGGGGCAGCCTCATCCAGCTGTACCAGATGGCAGCTGTGCCATCATTGCTCACCGTCAGGAAGCTTTCGGCCTCCTCACCAGCCAGAGTCTCGAAGGTGAGCCGGGCAGCAACACCAATTTCATTCTGCAACAAAGAGGAAAAAGATAACAATTTCTGCTCTATCTGGCGGGATTTATCCTGCATGAAGTCATAACTCAAATAAGGGGTTGAACCTTGGTAGAACTTGTAAGGCAGGTCCGGTGAAGTGGTCATTATACAGAGAGAGCCTGGGAATCTAAGCTCACACCACAGCCAGAGCAACCCCTTCTGTCCCTACATCTCTCCAGAGCAAACAGAGGGATACTCTATTATGTTCAGAATAAATTCCCCATTCTGTGGCCTGGGAGTGACACCCATTGTACAGTCGTGACTTGGGAACTCACACAGGCTTAGCTTGACTAAACAATTAAAATCTCACAATTACCCTGCAAGAAGTGATGCCCTTGATCCAACGAGCAGGCTTGCCACAGAAAACTAAAGATAGATGCTTTTCTTCTTCTGGAGCCACATTGCAGGAGTCACTGCTACAGAAAACAAAAGCCAGCATTTTCATGGAGTGAAATTCACTTTCAGAGAGGGGAGAACCAGGGATAATTTACAAGACTCTGTAAGAACTAATCCCAACTAATGCTTTTCCACACACTCCTCTCCTTAAGGACAGAGCCTTGCTCCTTAGATGCAAGACCTCAAGGCAAAAAGATTTTTAAATCTGGTGATTATATTAAAATATGCCTTTTGTTGTGCCCACTGGAGGTTCCTCTCCATTCTGGCTAAAAACAGCTAAGGGTACCTTTATAGACTGGTGGTACATATCCAAAACTCTTTACTTCTGCCATGAAGGAAAGCTTACTCAATCTCTTCAGGAGGAGTGGAACATGGAGAAGCGGAACATGGAGAAGCCTCTGCTGAGACAGATGTGAATGGCTGCCCTTTACCAATCAGCTCCAGTCCTTCCAGATCCTGGACATACACAAAGATGATCAACTCAGGATTTCTTTTTTTATATAGAAAGGAAATTATAATACCAGTCAAATGCACCAACTCAGTCAAGGAAAGTGAAGTTGAAGTATCTTGCTCCTACAATGGTTTTTAGAGGTATACAAAGAATGCTCAAGAGATTCGGGAAGGAACCAATTCTGAGTTTCCCAAGAATCCTAGATGACTGCATTCCCCACTACAAATGATGCATGGATGGGAAAAGTCTCCCTCACACACATTTCTCATCCCCAGAGACACGTTTCAAAGACAAAAAAAGTGAGGTTTATTCTGTTTTTAGGAGGAGGGACTACCTGCCTTCAGATTATTTTAGATGTGTGTTTTCCACATGGTTGAAGTGTCTTCCTTCTGTCCCGGGGCACTAAATCAAAGTCCTACACCACTACTTGGCAGGTTTTTTCATGGCCTAGGTCCTGGCAGCTTCATGCTGCTGGTTTGGGGTCCTATTCTGAGGCTCCTAGATCACTCCATACAACACTTTGGGAGGCCAGACAACTCCTTCATGGGTGTGGCCCTCTGGAAATGTCAGAACTTCCAAGAAAAGTACTGTGGGGCTAAGTTTTAGACTCCTAATGCTTTTTCAGACTCAGTTCTTGGCAATTTTATGTTACTCTACTGACAAGAAACAAGAGACACAAAGAATGTCCCTGCTCCTCTGGTCTTACCGGCTTATAAAAACCCAGCTCCTCCAGGACAGATTTCAGCTCCTGCCGCCGATGTTTCAGGAAAAGACTCTTATCCCAGGTTAGATGGCAAGGAATCTTCGTTGGGGGCTTCAGAGCTGTGGAAATACCCACACAAGAGCTCACTCTCTACATACTCACATGCCTATTAAATTTCACTCTCTGCCAAATTTAGGCCTCGTGGTGTTTTAAAGAGGAGGCTCAACAGATGACTGGGAAGTAGCTGCTCCCTCCACACCTGTGGCCCATTTCTGTGGAAACACCTCTCTGCAGTGCTCCCTTACCTGTTTCCTTCTGGACAGTGCAGGGTTTGCCCACATGAGTGATTGGCTCTCGGTCCCCACGTTCTGTCCGAGTCAGTGTCAGCATCAGGCCGGTGAGTTCATCTCCAATACGGTCGGGCTGGCTCCAGAACTCACTTCCTACTCGGAATCCCTGTGGTGAAAAACAAGGCTCCCACTGATACAGAGTTGTACAGCTACCTGCTATTTTCATAGGGACTAGAAAGGATCTGATCCTGCCTATATGAACATTTTAATAGTCTATGAATTATCCCTTTCTGCAGAGTAAGCCAAAATTTCTATCAGGCTGCTGTCAAAGACAAAAGAACTTTCTTCTACCTAGTGCTACGTGAAGGCTGAACGATATTAAAATAAAGCCTCACACAAATGCAAATTCTTTGACAGTGCTATAAATGTAAAAAAATTATTTTAACACAGGATCTTTCCATAATCCTCCTGCCTTGCCCATACCCCTTTCTCCGTGGCAATCACTAAAATCCAAGTCTGAATCAATCAGATCTCTCTGCCCCCTGGAACAGCAATTGTGACATGTTCCCAGGTCACTTCCCTGGGCAGGACAGTCTTTGTTGAGAGTCCAGAAAGGGCACTTGCTCATCCCCACTTTCCTCTGAGTAGTATGGATAGCACAGTTCCTGGTTTTATTTTTAAAATCCCTGAAAGCTCTGCTCACACACCAGGCTGAAGGACTCAAGAGTGGCTTTGATAAATACCTACTGACAGTTCTTCAGGGATGTTACTCATCACACCAGCGCCTGTGCTGTTTCACAAGAGCAGCACATTCAGGACACACAGGCTCTCACCTTTCCAGGATGGAGGTAGGGGAGACTCCGGTCAATGAGGTCCCTTTCTTCCATGACTTGCCTGTAATTCTCCGCGATGTTCATCATCAATTCATTCTCTGGCTTCTGAAGAATTTCTGTAAAGAGGAAATGTCACATCATTGGTGCTGCACTTCTGGGCACACCCTTTGACACTATTGTTGTTCACCTGTAACCCACTTACACTGGCCCCTGCCAAATCCACTGTCCTTGCCCCACCCAGAGCCACCAGCTCACTCTCCCACCACATCCACAGCCACTAGCACGTGTGGGAGCTCTGAGAACATGGAATTAGACTGCAATGGCAATAGGATTAACCCTGGTAGGTGATAACCACTGCAGTTTGGTGTGGGGACATCAAACTCCCCCACCTACATACAGAATTTTACAGAAGGAGGCCTCTGCAGCTTTGTCTCACCTCCTAGGTGTTTCTCCTGCTTTTTCCTGATTGCCATATGATGGCTCCAGTTCTGGAGAGCTCTGTGCCCTGCTAGTTGGGCCTGAGGAGCCTTTTGCTTCTTCTCTCCTCCATGTTTCTCTTTCAAAGCTGCTGCAGTAACATCTGGACGAGGAACCTCAATAACATCTGCTGTCTGATGAGAAAGGAAACACTAAATGAACCTCTTCATGCACACCAAAACAAAAATGGGAGAGAGCAGGAGAAAAGAGTTATTCAGATTGACTGTACTTTTACATTAGCACTCTGAGAGGAACAAAAGCAGGGCAGTAGGAACACACTCGAGACAACGGAAGGATTTATCTGAGTAATTAGACTCCAGCAATGCCATTGCTGCAACACCAGCTCTTCCCTGATGCCAACAGAAGAGCACAGAGGGAAGAGGAAGCCTGTGTAATTGTTCCCTCCATGACCTGGTCCTGCACACAGCACTCCAAAACCTGCTGGTGCAGTTTCTCTGATGGCAAACCCTCCCTGCAGAGTGTGACGAGGCTGGGAAAACCACACCTCAGCCCTGACCTGCTCCTGATAGGTGCTGGAAAGCATCGAAAGGTACTGCTGGCACCACACTCCACCTCTGGAAAAGTGCCACACAGCAGCATTTTCCTAACTTTTTACAAACCAACCCGAGTGCTTCTTCTGGCCCAGACTTCCATCTTAAACTCCTGGACACTTCCCAAAATGTGATGAGGAAGAATCTCTTCGCAGCCATCAGCAAACTCTTTTGGTCCTAAAACACACACACGAAAAAATACCCAGCCCCAGAGCCAGGTCACTAAAGTTTGGCTTAGCAAAACCAAAACCCAGAGATAAGATGTGAAGTTGAACCCTACCAGGAAAAGTCAGTGGTTGCCTGGGTGCCTTGGGGGAAGCGGGATGTGCTACAAGATATGTCACCTCCTTGGGTCGGTATTTTCGAACGAGGTAATTCTTCCTAACTGGAACTCTCCCAGCATCATGGGGAAGGCGTGGAGCATGAACCTGCAGGAAATAAACAGTAACAGTGCAGTAAGGTACACACTGACTCACCTTTAATCCATCTGATGCTTTTAGGATATGCAGAGGTCATATCAGTACAGTTACTGTAAGAGTCCTGGAAAGGGACTTTCCACAAGAGCCTGGAGTGACATGACAAAGTGGAATGGATTAAAACTAAAGAAGTAGGTTTAGATTAGATATTAGGAAGATACCCTTCCCTGTGAGGGTGGGGAGGCCCTGGCACAGGTTGCCCAGAGAAGCTGTGGCTGCCCCATCCCTGGAAGTGTCCAAGACCAGGTTGGATGGGGCTTGGAGCAAACTGGGATAGTGGAAGGTGTCCCTTCCCATGGCAGGGGGGTGAAATGAGATGATCTTTAATGTCCCTGCCAACCCAAACCATTCTATGATTCTCTGATTCCTCCCCTATGAGGCATGTTATGCAGCTACAGAGACACCAGCTCAATTGCTGCCTCATTCCTCTAAACTCTGGTTTATAACAGGGGCAGGAAAAGGAGAGTTTTAAATCACTTTCCCAAGAGATTTCTGCTGCTGTGTCACTCGATGTCGAATGCTTCCACTCACACACTGTGACTCAAGTTTTGGAAGGAAAGCCATGAAAGCTATTAAACAACTTACAGGTCTTATGAGACCATGAAGTTGGAGAGGCAGATGATTTATCCTTCCAGTTGAAAGTACTGTGTAAAGACTGACAATTCTTTGGTTTTTGCCACTGCACCTAATGATGTGACATTTTATCATGATAAAGAGCACGACAGACAAAATGGAGTAAGAACTCAACTGCAAGAGTGAGTTTTGGCTTAAGTAAATGGGCTGCACCCTCTGTTAAACACATAAAAAGAGTATGTCAGTTAAGGCAGCTTTTTCTACCAGTAGAAATACTCATACGTACTTTCTGCAGGTCCTCCACCTTAATTGCAAGTGCCTGGATATCCTCTCCTTGCAGAACATTTGGATCGGGCTTGGGCTCAGGCTCAGGCTCGGGCTCAGGCTCTTCTGAAATTGCTGAACTGGGCTGTTCAGAGGTCTTTTCCTTCTTGCCTGAAAAATACATGAAGAGACCCCCTCTTCAGTCTCCCAAGGAAACACCACCTTCCTCTTTCAGCCTGGTTAATCTTTTCCAGCTGACCACGTTCGGTGTTGTGGTTTATTTTTTTTTAAGGTTTCACAGAACAACTGAATTCAGTATCTTTTGTAATTGGAAAAATCAAACTCTCAGAAGCAGCAAGGACCAAAGTGGGTCAAGCAGGATTCAACTGTCTCACCCTTTATTCCAGATGAGATAAATACAGATAAATAGAGCTCCCTGCAGGAGGAACAACAAAATCCTGGGAAGCTTCCTGCTCCAGCTGCTAGCGCAAGGATACAGCCTCCCTGCAGTCACCCAGCACAACAAACCACTGGATTTCCAGAAGCTCCTGAATGGCAAAACAGCTCTGAAATAGCCAAACCCGGGCAGAGCCGGGCCGGGCCGAGCCGAGGGGATCCCACCGGGGGCTGTTCCTCCACCTTAACCTGCGCGTCCCTCCCGCTGGGACCGGCTCATTTGAAAAACCCAAACTATAAGAATAACGACCCGGGGGTCCCTGGGTGGGAAGGGGCTGTTTGTGGCGGCTCCATCCCCGGCCTCGCTGAGGCCGCAGGCCCGGCCCGGCCCGGCCGCCGCTGCCCAGGCGCGCGTACCCGGGGGGCTCCGGTTCTGGGGCCGACTGCCTCGCTGCGACGCCATGTCCCGCCGACCCCCGGACCCCGGCCCCGACCCCGACAGAGCCCGCGGGTCGCGACAGGGCCCGAAACCCCCGCGAGGCACCGCCCCCTGCCGGGGCACCGCGGCACCGCCCCGCGCGACCCCTGCCGCACGCATGCGCCGTGCGACCGCGGCACGGCCGGGACACACCGGGATACACCGGGATAGCGGGACGCACTGGGATGCACTGGGATACTGACACTGAGGGATACCGGGATACACCGGGATAGCGGGACACTGAGGGATACCGGGATACACCGGGATAGCGGGACACACTGGGATACTGACACTGAGGGATACCGGGGTACACCGGGATACAGCCACGGAGGGACACCGGGAAACACCGGAATACCGGGACACACTGGGATACCGGCACGGAGGGATACCGGGACACACTGGGATACTGACACTGAGGGATACCGGGATACACCGGGATACCGGGAAACACTGGGATGCACCGGGATACAGGCACGGAGGGATACCGGGATACACCGGGATACTGACACTGAGGGCCACCGGGACACACCAGGATACCGGGACATACTGGGACATACTGGGATACAGGGACTGTGGAATACACTGGGACGCCAGGATACACCAGGACATACCAGGATACTGGGACACCCAGACACACCAGGAGATGCCAGGATACCTGGACACTGGGTCTCCAGGATAGTGGGGCACCGGGACTCAGGGACACTGGGAGACCAGGGACACCAGGACATCAGGCTCTAGGACACCGGGGACACCAGGGCTCCGGGACACTGGGCACTGGGACATCGGGGTGGAGGACACTGGGACCTGCCCTTTGGGAAACCCCCCTGGATGATGCCGCTGCCCCAAGACCCCTCAGCCAGCACACAGCTCTTGTGTTTTATTATCCGTTGTGGCCGCTCACAGACCCCACATTCTGGCCACCGTGTCCATCTGTGTCTGTCCCCTGCTGGGTTCCCCCTCGGTGGGCACCGGGCAGTGCCCAACACCGCTGGAGCTGGCACAGCAGGTCGGGCAGCAGCGAGTCCAGCACGGCCAGGCCGGCCCAGGTGCACCGCAGACCACTGGGGGAGAGGGGTGGTGAGCTCCAGGGCACCAGGGGAGACCCCTCTGCTCCCCACACGGGTTCCCTGGGCTCACCTGCCATCCAGGAGCAGCCAGCCCTGCTTCTGCAGCACCTGAGCCTCCCCCGGCACCCCGAACACAGCCTGCAGGCTGAGCTGGGGGGAGAAGTGCCCCCAGCGCTGTATGCCCAGGGTGAGAGAGGGGCGTTAGTGAGGGGCATCAGTGATGGGTCACTAGTGATGGCTCATCAGCATCCCAGTGCCCAGAGGGGTCTCCAGTAGAGCTGGAGAGGGACTTTGGATAAGGGCCTGGAGTGACAGGACAAGGGGGAATGGATTCAAACTGGAGGGTAGTTTTACTTTAGATATTAGGAAGGAATTCTTCCCTGTGAGGCCCTGGCACAGGTTGCCCAGAGAAGCTGTGGCTGCCCCCTCCCTGGAAGTGCTCAAAGCCAGGTTGGATGGGTCTTGGAGCAACTTGGTGTTGTGGAAGGTGTCCCTTCCCATGGCAGGGGGTGGAATAAGATGGTCTTTAAGGTCCCTCCCAACCCAGACCATTCCATGATTCTATGATTAGTGGTAGGTTGATGTGGGGGACCTCCATGGGTGGCTCCTCACCTCGTGTGTGACACCCTCATCTGTGCGTAGTCCCAGGGTGAGCACCTCCTCCAGCCTGTGGGGACATGGAAAGCTGTGGGGCAGCACGGACGGGGAGGGAGCGTGGGGGGACCCTGGTACTTACTGCTCCAGCGGGCTCAGCACCACCCGACTCCTGGTGCCGTGTCCCTGGCTCTGCACTTCCCGCATCCAGGCAACAGGCTCCAGTGTCTGGACACGGGCTTCCCGGCTGCAGCCGCCCTCACCCTGTGGCACGAAGCGCCCATGTGCTCCTGCAGCAGTGAGGGAGGGGGACAACAGAGTTCAGGGGGCACATGGCCACGCACACACGCCCCTGGCTCCCCCTCACCCCCTTACCTGGCCCCACACCGATGTACTGGTCAGCCCGCCAGTACGAGAGGTTGTGCTTGCTGAGGGCACCCTGGAGGGAGAGCGTGGCATGGGGTGAGATGGGGCCAAGTCTGCTTGGAGAGCAGCATGGCATGGTGGGAGCATGGCATGGGGGGTACCTGACCTTGCGTGCAAAATTGGAGACCTCGTAGTGGCGGAAGCCGGCGGCCACCAGCACAGTGCGGGCTGTCTGGTACATGTCGGCCAACAGGTCCTGGGGGGGCAAGGGCAGGGTCCCCCCCCGGACCTGTGCTGCCAGTGCCGTGCCCCGCTCCAGCGTCAGCTGGTACAGGGAGATGTGGTCATCGCAGAGCCCCAGCGCCGCCTCCAGCCCCTGGGCCCAGGTGTCCCGGCTCTGCCCCGGCAGCCCAAACATGAGGTCGATGGAGGTGCGGCCAGGGAAGAGCCCTCGCGCTGCCTCTACGGCCTTCTGTGCCTCCGCCGCCGTGTGCTCCCGGCCCAGCAGCCGCAGCTCGGCGTCGTCCAGCGACTGTGGAGGGAGTGTGGTGACAGTGGGGTCATGGGGTGCTGCAGGGCCGCGAGAGAGAGCCCCTCTCACCTGGACGCCGATGGAGAGGCGGTTGACGCCAGCCGCCCTGAAGCCGGTGAGCCGTGATGTGTCCATGGAGCTGGGGTTGGCCTCCAGCGTGACCTCGGCACTGCCGGGCAGATGGGCAGCCCCTGCCACAGCCTCCAGCACCGCCGCAATGGTGCGAGGGCTGGCCAGGCTGGGGGTGCCGCCACCGAAGAACACAGAGGTGATGCTGTAGAGCAGAGGTGGGGACTTGCAGGTGGGCACTGGAGGGCCCCGTACCCTGCCATGAGCCCCTCTGTGCACCCACCTGTGCACCTGGCTGAGGCGCAGCAGGGTGTGTGCCTCCCGCACCAGGCAGGCGCGCACGGCCGCCTCATCCACCGCTGGCACCACGTAAGTGTTGAAGTTGCAGTAGGAGCAGCGCTTGCGGCAGTAGGGCCACTATGGGCACAGGGGGTGTGGGGGAAGGCCATGCCCCCACCCCCAGGCACCCCACTTTGAGGGGGGACAGCCCTAGCCCAGTGCCCCTGACAAGGCACACGACCCACAGGTGTGACCCTTCATGTGCACGGCTCAGGGACCCCCGCAGCAACCTGCACCAGTGCATGGCTGGGGAGCCCCACCTGTGCCCCATGACATTGCAAGGCCACGCTGCCCCACCACGCATGCAAGCCCTGGGGTCCCCAGGGTCCCATACACACCCACGTGTATGCAAGCCCCAAGCCCTCACATCCACCAGTGCAAACCCGGGGTCTCATGTGTCCCCCCCACGTGTGCAAGCCCCAGGACCCGCGTGCATCCCCACGTGTACAAACCCGGGGTCCCTCGGTATCCCCTGTGTGTGAACTCGCGGTCCCCGCACACCCCCGCGTGTGGAAGCCCCTGGGTCCCTGTACACCGTCCTGCGCGTGAACACAGGGGCCCCTCTCCCCACGCGTACAAGCCCCAGGACCCACATGCACCCCCACGAGTGCAAGCCCGGGGTCCCCGCACACACAACAAGCCCCGGTGTCCCCGTGTCCCGCCCCGTGTCCCCGCTCACGTGCACGTAGAGCGCGGCTGTGGCGGGGGCGGCCGGTTCTGGGACCGGCTGCGGGGCCGGTTCCGCGGCAGGACCAGGACCCGGTCCCGGTCCCCGTCCCGGGCCGCCCCCGCCAGGCCGCGCCGCAGCGACCGCCACGGCCGCCCTTCGGCACCCCCGCACCGCCGCCATGGGGCCCGCGGGCCCCGGCACCGCCCGCCCCGGGCGGGCACCGAGCGGGGCCGCCCCCGGCTGCGGGGGCCGGGGCGGGGCGAGGGGGAAGGGGAGGGATCGGGAGTGAACCCGTGCGCTCCTAACGGGGCCGTACAGGGGATGCTCGGTGTGAGTGACGGGGATGCCGGGGTCAGTGTCCTCTCCCGGTACCGGGGATGCCGGGGCCAGCGTCTTCTCCCGGTGCTGGGGGTGCCGGGGTCAGTGTCCTCTCGCGGTGTCCTCCCCGGACACACGGTCCCGACGAGGCTGGGGCATTCCGCAACCTGCCCCCGCATCCTCCCCCGGCTGCTCCACGGGGCCGGGAAGGGTTTTCCAGCGTTTCGGCGGAGGGAGCCGCTGCTTGTCCCCACGCAAGGTTGTGCAAACCCGCTGCTGACGAATCCCAACGTTATTAGTTCTTAATTTGCTCTATTAATAGCCACGGGGAAGTCCGGAATGTCCATGGCAAAGGCTGTGACCGTAGATTCCCGTTTCGCGGCCGGGAACGGGTAGTTTTGTGTAACCCACCTCTGATGTAACCTTTCCGGCTGCCCGGAGTTCCCCAGAAGGCAGTGAGGGCTATAAGAGCAGGACCCAGGCATGGTAAGGGCAGAAAGCCATGGTGCCTGGAGCCCTGCACACACGGAGCCCACACTGCCAGCCATGATGGACAGCTCTTCCTCTACCGTGAGTATTTACAGCCGGGGCTGCATCATCCCAGAGGCTGGAATTGGCCATGGGACATCTCGGCAGGTGTCCTGGCTGGCGAGGGCTGGATGGGCCCCAGCAAAGGGATGGGGATGGTAGGGAAAGCTTCCCCAGCACCAGGCTCTGCTGGGGCTCAGACCTCTGGATGATGTTGCACCACTCCTGGGGCACAAAATGGAACTGTGGGGTGCAGGGATGGGGTGGCAGGGGCTGTACCCGCTGTGCTGGCTGTGACTGGGGCTCACTGTGTTTCTCAGCAGTGTGCCTGCCCTCGCCAGCCAGGGCTGAGCCACCTTCATTTCTTACCCACTGCCCCCAAACTACAGTGAGCACGTGGGGCAGCTTGGGGGTTGTGCCAAGGGTGGAGTTACCAAACAGGGATGGGAGGAGGCCTGTCCCGCACCTGGGTTAGTGCTGTGGGAAGCAAAGGAAGGTAAAAAGTCCTTCCCTAGACACCAATCACAGGGGTCCACTGCATCCCCAAGGTCACTGGCTGCAGTTGCAGTCATAGAGGTAACAGTTCCTCCCTCAGGAAGGAATGTTACAAGAGTCCTAAAACCAGGGGAAGGAGGAGACCTGAGTGAAATGTGGAGGATGAGTGCTGACACCAGCCCCACGAGCAGTTTGGGATCAGAGGAGGAACATGCTGGAAAGACACTGAATAGAAAGGGTGTGACACAAACCATCCATGCTTTTTTCTTTCAGGTAGCAGATACGAGCAGTGGACTTGTCCACTCGGTCTGCTTCCATGGGTAGAGCCCACAGTCCAGCTGGGAGATCAAGGACTGAGACCTCGCTGAGGCTTCCCCCTCTCTCCCTGTTGCATCATTTCCCTCCACCCACTAGAAGAAGCTGCAGCACAGAGGAGGCCCAACTTTAGCCCTGCTCGGGAAGGAAGCAGGAGGGAGACAGCCTTGGCGAGAGTTGTCAGCAACACCATCTGCTTTCCAGTTGGAGTGGGACACTTCTGCTGGCAAGGAAGAGGAGCTCTGCTCTTCCCCTTCTCGCAGGAGTGTTTCATGGTTGGGAGGTACCAAATAACTCCCGTAAAATGCTGTCCCAGGTGTGCTGTGCTTCGCACTGCCGACAGGACAGGAATTTTGGTATTTCTGCAAAAACCTTACTGTCTGTCTTGCCCAAAACAACAAAATAAACCATGCCAAGTCTACTTTGGAGAACTTTTTGGGGGGGACCTGGGGGAGGTGTGGGAACAGGATAAGCTTTTCCAGCCAGCTTTAGGGAGCCCCTTCCCATGCAAAGTTTCATTCTCTGAACCCCCTGCCCCTCATTTCAAGTTCAGTAGCTGTTATATGACCCAGGAGTCTCACAACACCCAAGCAGAGAAGGCATCACCTACCCTGGGAAGCCAGACCAGGGTGTTAGGACTGAAAAAATGTCAGTGAAATACCTACTAGCATCTGTTCAACTCCTCTGAAACGGCTGCAGCCAAACTGCTCAGAGACACACAAGATTTTTAAATCTTCATAAGGTCTTTCAGTAACTGGACAGAATTCCAGAATTAAGCATCCCTTCCTCACACCACAGTATTTGTCCTGGCAAAGAAACAAACCCAACTGGGAAAAAAAGGCGCTCTGTTTTATTGACTAAAAGTGCCATCAGCCTGATGTCAGGGAGAGAAGGTCTCCACTGCGTAGCAGGCACAGGTGAAAAGCAGACTGAGAGCTGCTGGTCCTCCAGTTGATTTATCCCAGATTTTGCTCTGCCTTCCCAATCTCAGAGCTGAAGGAGCTTCTCCATCTGCTCCCTCAACTTGTATTTCTGAATCTGGAATAAAGTGCAGAGAGGAGGAGGAAGAGAGACTCAGGCAGCAGCTGGGACAGGAGGCCAGAGCTCCTCCCCTGCCCCCGTCCCCTCTTACCTTGCCTGAGACAGTGAGTGGGTACTGGCTCACAAACACAAAATAACGTGGGATCTTGAAATGGGAAATCTGGGAAGACAAAAACAATGGCTACACAACCCCCCAGGAAGAGCACAGCCAGCCCAGCTGGCACTGCCAGGGCTGGGTCCACCAATGCTCTAAATCCATGGGTTTTCATCTGCCAGTCCCCAGCAGCCACTGGGTGTACTGGTCTGTCAGGGAACTGAGAATGGGAGACCCACCTTCCCTTTGCAGAAAGCCTTCATCTCTTCCTCAGTGCAGTCCTGCCCAGCCCTCAGTCGGATGCAGGCACAGACCTCTTCTCCCATCCTCGGATCCTTCACACCAACCACCTGGTTGGGACAGATGGACAGTGTGACCCCTGGGGACAACCCTGTTCTCTGGCAGGGTCCATGTGCTGGCCCACACCACTGGATGCTGGAATCATGGTGTGGGGCTGTGTAAAGGCAGTTTAAGCTGCTTGACCATCCCACTGGGGCTTTCTACACAACATTGAACCCTCCTGGAAGGAGTTCCCAACCATTTGCCAGAGGAAAGGTGGCAGAGCAAGCTGAGCACCTGGATGCCAGCACCTTCCTCCTCTGGTTTTGCAAAGTGACTGGAGCGGGGGCTGAGTCAGACCAGACCAGCTCATCGTGCTATGACACGGACCTGTTGTCCCTCTGCTTCCCGAAAAATGGGGCAAGAGGTTTCACAACCAACGGAGAGACTTGGTAGACTGCCATGAGTGCTTTGGGATCTCCAGATGGAGTGGAAGGGGAGGGATGAAGTCGAATTAAAGGATTATTTGAAACCCTTATAGTCTGAGATCTTAGTGGACCCCCGCCCGTGATACCAGGAGATGGGCTTCCCAAGCCTGAGCTCTCTCCAAAGTTTGCTCACAGTATTCCACAACAATACTACTGTCATTCCCCGCCTTGAACTGGTATCTCAAAATCCTAGAGACACGTCGATCCTTTTGAGTCCAGAGCAGTAACAGAAAGCCCTAGAAACCACATAAACAGGGCTGGTTTGCAACCCATCTGCACTGGGACTGTTCCAAGGAGAGATGCTTGCCTGGCACAGGCACAACACTGACTAAATAACCAGTTTATTTATGGGGAAACTTGTCTGGCACAAAACCTGGAGGAGAACAATCCCAGCAGACTGGGAGCAGCTGCTCAGTGCTGCAAATCATTGCTGTCTTGAGAAGGGGTGAAACAAAGTCTCACTCCTCATCTCCAGGGACTCATTGGAGCACTCTTTTTGGATGTCAGAGTTGAGTAATTACTAGTAAAAACTGTCCTTCCAGACTGCTTTCCAAATAAGAATTTCAGAGAGAGCTAAGTGGACAGGCAGTTTAAAACTGAAGAATGACAGGCTTGCAGATGTGCAGCTGATGCACGAGGGGATTGCTCAAATTGATGTGCCCCACTTCAGGAGCTCTGCCTGCCCCTCCCATGCCATGAGCCTCTCTCTCCTCCTTGCCAACCAATATTACACGGCAGCTGATGCTGAAAACGGGAAGACAACCAGGTCCCAGGCAGCAATCCGAGAATCTCTGTGTACAGGTTTCCCAAAAAACAGCTGCTCACCTATGTCACCTCCCTCCCACTCACCTGGGCCTCCTCAACCTTGGGATGGGTGTGGAGAAACTGCTCAAGTTCTGCTGGGTAGATGTTCTCTCCACCACGAATAATCATGTCCTTGCAGCGGCCTATAATTTTGCAGTAGCCGTGCTCATCCAGGCTCCCGAGATCCCTGCAATGACACCATTCTCCAAATCCTGTCCCAGCTGGGTGGAAGAATGGCTGATGCTCCCACCCAGTCAGGTTATCCAGAGGGTAAAGGCTGAGGAGCCACCTGAACACACGACAGAGATCAGACTCCTACTTCAGCCACTGGCAGCATCCAGTGGATCAGGGTTTAGGGGGGAGGCAATTCTTGCCCCTGCACTGTACCCCCACAGTCCCTCCATCCACCAGTGGCCAAATGATGATCCCCTTCTCCAGGGACACTCAGCACCAAGGGCTCTGTGCTAAAAGCTGTTCTGAAGTGTCACAGATAGATCAGAGGGTTAAATTAGGTCAGTTTTCCTTGCTTTGGAAATCCCAGCCAAGCACTCCGATACACACCCATGCATCCCTTTCCAGTGTGGAGAGTCTGGGAGGAGTGGGGCTGTTCCCAGACTCACCCTGTCTTGTACCACCTCTCAGCAGTGATCACTTCACTTGTCTTGGCAGAGTCATTCCAGTAGCCCAACATGACGCAGTAGCCGCGGATCTGAAGCTCCCCTGGCGTGTTCAGAGGCACAGACTTCCCTGTTTCTGGATCCTCAATTTTTGCCTGAAAGAGAAGAAGGGCTTAGTCAGAGCCCAGCGTGGTGGCATGTCCCAGCTCCTGCACCAGACAGGGAGGTCTGCTGCAGGCAGAGGAGCTGGAGTGGGTGGAGAGGGTCATAGTCACCTCTGTGTGGGGGAAGATGTATCCCACTGTCTCGGTTCTCCGGTCCATGCTGTCATTGGGGAACCCCATGAAGGTGACAGGGCTGTTTTCTGTGGTCCCATAAGCAACCTGCAATCACAGGAAGGGAAATGTATCTCAAGGGGAAAGGGGACCACACAGCTCCAGGCACAGGAAGGAAAAAGCCAGTGATGACTGCAGGGTAGAGTGGGGTGGGAGGAGTCACAAGTCCTTCAGGTCACAGGCAAGCCCTGCTCTCCTGGCTGTGGATGGGACTCCACAGACACTCCTGCCAGAGAGTCTTGGAGAAATAGGAGCTAAAGCAGCACTGCACCTGCCCATTGCACCTCCATGGCAGTGCTCCAGACCCAACCACACTTGGAGTGTCATGTACTTTAGACACCTCAACTACTATTCTTGGAGGAGTTCTCCCTCCTCTTTTTTAACCCTTGTTTCTCCAAGCCCTGTCCTGTTGACTCCACACCATCTCTGCCAGCCCCTGACTTTGCCTTGGTGCCCTTGCAGCCATGGTGCTGCATTCACCTTGCATCTTCTACAGCTCAGGGCACATAGGACATCACTTTGGAAAAACCCTGAGGCCAGCAGCAGGCTCCTGTGGGAGACGGCTCATCCCACAGCTCAGCTGCTTGCTCCAGATCCTTTTGTGCAGACATCAGCCCCTCTAACCCTCATAAGGGCATCACGAGGCTGCACAGTGCTCAGCACAGCTGCCCTTACACACCAAAAGCCTCACAGCAGGACAAAAGCTTCTCACTGCTAAACCTCCCTCACCGCTAATCCCAACGGCAGGCTCCGAGTCACCTCAGCTGAAGGTCACTTCTCCTCAGAGGAAAATTCCAGTGCTTTATGCCCAGCTCAGTGGCCCGCTGAGACAGCAGGAGCCGTGCAGGAGGTGCTCTGGGCAGTTCTGAGCTGCACCAACAGCACCATCGCTGGGATTGCTGCTTCATCTCCAGCTCTCAGGAGCTGCTTTTCTGCAGTGGGACACTCTGGAGCACTGCTCTGGTGTCTCTAACCTGCTCACTGGGTTGTGTGCCTTCAGGCAGGGTGACACCACTGATGTCACCCCACTAATGTCACCAGTAGCTGCTTTGCTGGGAGAGCGAGGTTGGGAAAGGGCTGATGCAGGAAGCATTTGCTCTTTTCTCCTCCACATCTCCAGACTGACCTGTGAGCAGCTCTGACCTGTTGAATCACAAGGCCCAACCATATTCCTACAGCCTTGGCACCTAGATCTTGTCAATTCCTTCCAAGCAAACGCCTGGGCATGCCAGCATGGTTATGGCTTCTGCATGGTGCTCACCAAGCTCCAGGCACTGAGCCCCAAATTAACAAGGGGCTTTGCAAAGGACTATGATGAAGCATTTGAACAAGCATGGAAATATCCTGAATGAGCTGAACATAACACTGGTATAATGTACAGCCCTGTGTAACAACACTGGAGCACTTGGCACTTTCCATGGCTCAGGACTGCTGAAGGATCTCACGGTGAGCACAGTTTGTCACAACGGTTGATGCTCTTGTTGACTGCACCCTGGTCAGCGTGAATTCAAGCTGGAGCCTGCTCTTAGCCAGGAATCTGGGGGAGAACATCCCCAGGATGCTGCAGGGACCATCTGGTGCAAACTGCTCTGCTAGGAGCCTGGCAGCCCCCAGGGAGCGACTGTGAATAGGCTTCTCCTACCAGACACAAGGATATCTTCCCAGTCGGGTGGAAACCCACAGCGTCTCATGCTCAGACAGGATTTCTCTCCCACCCACTAATACGAGTCCTGTGGCTGGATCAAATGACTGACGAGACACAAATCCAAGACCTTAAACACTTATTAAAAATCCCAGCGCCTTTGTTTTTTTGTTTTACTCTGCTGGATGAATTGCAGTGTTGGTCCCAGGATCCCAGCCAAGCCCTGAGTCAACCCTTGCTGCCTCTCCGGGTCGCTCCAGCAGTTTAATTGGACACAGGAGCAGGCAGCTCCCTGGTAGGATGATGCTGCAAGTGCCATGGCTCACCAGGTTCCTCCAGATGCCTGGCACTGTGCCGTGCATGCCTAGCACCGGCTGTCACTGCCTTGGCTTATGGCTTGTCCCCATAAACACCCTCATGCCGTCAGGAATGGGATTCCTGATCGGCCCAGAGGGCAACGTGGGTCTGAACCTCCAGCCCCAATCTGCTGCCCCATCCCTGCCTTCCCCTGCCTGCATCAGCACCCTATTCTGCAGCCAGATGTTGCTCCAGATCTTTCCAAGATGTTATTTCTCTCCTGAGATGGTTTTCCCCAGCTGTATGGAGGCTGGAGCAAACTCTTGTGCCAGCACTGCTGTCCTTCCCGACCCTTATCTGACACGTGGAGCATCCTCCATCATCTCCGTTGTCAGCACCAGATGGAACAGCACTTCCACAAAACCCCACGTACCAATTTAAACTTGGAGATATCCATGAAGATTCCTAGGTTTCATGACCCAAAGGGACACTTAGCATCATCTAGCCTTGTCATCGGTGCAATTCAGTCCAGAAAACCTCACCCAATAATTTCAGCATCAGCTCCATAATTTCCACTGGAGCTGTATCTAGTGTCAAAGCAAAGCTTCCCAGAGGCAAGGGTCCAGCTCAGACCCTTGGCTTCCTGAGGAGCTACAAGAGTATAGAATATAATTAACTGTAAAGACCTTTTTTACTGTAGGACCACAAGTGACCTCCCACTACCCAGATCAGTCCTGCCTTCAGTCATGACAAGGACAGCTCCAAAACAAACGGCTGCCTAACTTGCTCCTACCAACAAGAGATTCATTCTTTGTGAATCCTAAGCCTCTGTCTAAACCAGGAATAAAAAGAACATCTTAGCAGGACTGTGTTTTTTGAGGCACATTTCACAAACATTTCCTGCCAGTGCTGTTTAAACACTGGCCACTGCGGAACAGGCAAAACAGCCTGAAGAGGGAAGCGTCTGAAAATTAAAAATAAAGTGAAAACAATCAGACTCCAGTCTCTTTAGTAAACATTTGGGAGGCAGGCTGATCTGGTGGGGACAGTGGGGAATCTGAAGATCCTGGGTTTTTCCCAACTGTGCCGCTTATTTACTGCATAATTTGGAACAAGCCACATTAGCCTTCTGCTCCTTGGTTTTCTCCTGCATTCAACAGCCATAAAAACACCCACTTCCCTCTGTGTTCAGCTGCTGCTGAAAGGCTGTGATGAAAAGGCTGGATCTGGTACTACCAGTACCCAGAGTGGGGTTATCCCAGCAGAAGGTCAGGGGTACAGGAGGGCATGAGGTCCTCGGAGGACACTCACCCCTGGACCTGAGAGATGCTCAGGGAGGATCTTCATGTCCCTCGTCACCACCCTCTGGTTGTGCCATGCTGGAGGATGGTGATGGCAGGGCTTGAACTGCCAAACTAAAACCTACAGAAACTGAGTTTTGCTGGAGACAATATTGGCCTTGGAAAAAAGCAGCAAATTGACCGTGAAATAATAGGGATTTTCAGACTTCAAAGAGGGCGTAATGAACAACAGAAAGCGGGCTGGCAACCCAAGAGATGTGCTCAGGGACCTTGAAGAGGCCCTTTGAACCCCTCTCAGTGTGGATGGATCTAATTATCCCTAAACCCGTGCTGAGTGCGTGTCTGTCTCGGATATCTCCACCAAAGTCAGGCCCAGCCCTTCCCATCACAGCCAGCTCCAAATTGTTCTTAACTGAGCCACGACCTTTCCTCACTCAGCTGCTCACTACCAAGATCACCCTAAACTCTGCTGTCCTCTGGGCACACATGTCTCCTCGCTTTGGAGATATCCCACCATCCCAAATTGTATTGGAATATTCCTGAACCTTCAGGTCAACTTTGCTGCTGCACAAAACAAAGTCTGATCGCATCCAGCCTGTGTCACACCGAGATTTCATTTCCTTCCCCAGCAACAGTACCATCTTTGTGTCAAAAACGTCAGGACACAAACAAGTAGGTCTTGTAGGACAAACCTCCAACGGTGGCCACCCTGTTGGCATCTCTCCCCATGCAGAGAACTGCCAGACAGTCCCAGTTTGGATGGGGCTTAAAGGAGTTCCCAAAAATACCAGGTGCCCAAAGCACCCTCTTTGTGCTGTGGCACACAATGGCTTTACCCCAGGAGGAGACCACTGCGAAAAGGACGACTCAGCTTGCCCAGGCTGAGATTTGCCACTGGGAATGAACCTCCTGTTATTGCCCAGTGAGGACAAGCTGCTCCTCATGGTCTGGAGTTAAAGCTCCCTCTCTTCCCAGCAGAAGCCTTGAGTGAGGCTTGCAAGTATTTCCCCCATCCTGCCAGCGTTGCAGAAGTGCTGCCCAGTGGTGACCAGCAAAGGCATGAGCAGTTGCTTACTGGTTTATCCACAGCGTGATAAAAGATCTTTGCTGTGGAATTAACTCCATCCTTCCTGGCACTAGTGCCAATGCATTTGGGAAAAGTGGAATTAAAGGGAAAAAGTGAGAGGAAATGGGCAGAGAAAAAGTGTCTTGTGAAGGGAGAAAACCACCATTTTGGGGGTACCTGAATGCTCAAAGCTGTCAGAGAAGGAAACTTAGCAAAAATCTAGGGTCAATCCCTATGGATTTGGAGAGCTCAGCTCCCACCAGACATGGCTTGAAGCCCAGGATCTTGTTGCCTCCATGCCGCATTTTCAATGTCCTCACAACCCATTCTCACAGCTTCTGCACCTACTGAAACCACCTACTCACCAGGTCCTCCCCAAAATCGAGGTGGGGTGGGATGGGGAGGCCATGGACAAGTGGGGAAATTGTCACCATGTGGAGCCCATTTTCCATTTTGTGAATAGGTGGGACTCATGGCTCAGGATCATTTGGGAAAGCCAGAAATCTTTGATGGATGTTCTACAAGGGAAGAAGGCTCCGCTCTCCTTCAGAGCCTGCGAGATCTGCAGAGAGGACAAGAGCCCTGGCCAGAGCAGTGGGATGCTAGGGAATGCCTGGTGCCTTGCAGGGTGAACACAGCAGGGCTGGGAGAGCTTCGCAGGAGAGGCCAAGAGCATCACTCAGCAGCTGCTGGGATCAGCAGAAGGGAAGGCTGGGTGGACATTACAGGGAGCCAAACTGGC